CTTGCTCAGTATCATTTCCATATGCCATCAGAACATCATATTGAAGGCAGAGATTTATTAATGGAAGGACATTGGGTATTCAAAACCTTGTCTAATCCAGGTGCAAAACTTGCCGTTCTAGGGGTTCTTTTTGACCTTGGTGAACATGAAAATCCTGGTTTGAAGCCTATTGTAAATATAATTGATAATGTATGTAAAATTTTAATGACTATTACAGTGTGAATATTTTATTTTCTCTTCAAAAGTACTTACTCTTTAAAAAATAATTAAAATAGAAACCATTAGAAGTCAATGAACATGTTAACATAACAATAGCATTAACCGAACAAATATTTAAGAAGGTTAAAACTGTATGTATTTATTCCTAATGATGAATTTTGTTTAAAATTTCATGATACTTTATTAAGGATGTTCTATTTAATTCCAAAGGCTTATAGTTATATCGGTAGTTTAACCACACCACCATGTACCGAAGATATTAATTGGTTTGTTTCTTCAGATGTGCAAAGTATTAGTCCATCCCAATTTAAATCATTAAAGTATGTATTGAAATACAACGCCCGATTTACACAAAAACGTCTTGATATTGGTGAACCAAAATCACACGAACCGTGGAAGCCTATGATCTCACATTGAGATTCATTCTCGTATCTAATTAATATTCATAAATAGTATATATAAATAATTTTGGTTGCTAAAGCTGATATTTTTTGTATACAATTTTTGGGCGTTTTTTTCTGTTTTTTTTTTTTTTTAAGGTTGGGTTAGGATTTAGAGGTATGATTGATAATTAGAGTATATATGGATTTTAGTAAGACTCAAGTTTCAGCATCAGCCAATTTCAATATCAGCTGCCACAATAATTTTTTAATTATTATTCTAATTCTAATGCATGTATAAATTAATATTAATTTTATAATTCCTTAGACAATTCATTAGACAAATGGTATAAATCCTTAAATAATATAATATTTAGTGATTGTTTAAGTAAAATAGGTTAAATTTTGAAATTATTGTTTAATCCAAATAAAAACTCGGGGCAATATAATCAAATAGACAAAATAGCGTAATTAAAGAGTTATGCATTTATATTGTGAGGAGCAAATGAAACTTGAATGGTTTTTATTTTGGATGAAGTTTCTTATCTAATGAACTTTTTCATATATTTAGCATTAAAACTAGAAGGATATTCTAGAAACAAGTAGCAGTTTCTGATTAAAAATATTAAAAGAAAAATTTTGCTTAATTTAAATCTTTACACAACTACAATAGATTTTTTACATTTTTTGTTTTCTTTTTTATGAAAGTAGAAATTTGACTTGTTCTTATAAAAAGATCAATTTTTGATCATTATTTTCTTTTGCAGTTATATGTTTGTTTAATAATAACAAATAAGGAACACAAATATATAAATTAAAATATGTATATATTTTAAAGTTATATATATAATATTTTTTTATAAAGACTTATAAGAATTGAATTATTTAAATATAAAATTTATATTTTGATATAGTCTTTCAATTACTTAAAAAGATTTTTATATATAAAAATGACTAGTTTAAACTTTATTCTACAAATGAATACTGTTTTATTCTAGTTAAGAATATCTAATTTCTAGAAAATAATTACAACCTAAAATAAATATAATATGTAATATTTTTAATAAGTAAATAATTATAGAATAGAGTTTTAACTAATTAACAAATTTTTCTTTATTCTTCTTTTAATTAAAAATTTTTTTTATTAATTTTATTTTATTTTCTATTTTTATTTTTCTTATATTTAATTTTAAACTTCTTTTTTTTCTCTTTTTTATAAGAAATATCTTTATATTAATAATGTCTTATTATAAGATAAAATCAGATAAGTTGTAATTTTAATTCTGATTAAATTAATTTAATAGATCACATTTAGACATTATTAAAGTAAACAAATAATAGCAAATTTATATATAAAAAAATGTCTTCAAATTGATAATGTCTTATTATAAGATAAGATTAAATAAATTTTAATTTTAATTCTAATTAAACTAGTACAATAAGTCATATTCAGATACTATTAAATAACTAAATAATAACAAACTTATATATTAAATAATATTTTATAATTGTATAAGTAATTATAAATAATTTACTAAAACATTATTATAATTGTTAAAAAATATCAACTGAATTCAAACTTTAGTTAGTGTCATGATCCAAAATAGGATCATTGATATTTCATTTAAGTTACATTGCATAATGAAGTAATAATATATAGTAATTATTATAGCACATATTATATAGAGTGTAATTAGTAGATACAGCATATAGAGTGTAATTAGTAGATAGAGCATAATTAGTAGATATAGCGTAATCAACGTAATTAGTAGATATAGCATATAGAGTGTAATTAGTAGATATAGCGTAATTAGTGTAATTAGTAGATATAGCATATAGAGCATAAATAGTATATTTAGCAGATAGGGAAAAGTATATAAGTAATGTGCTTAAAATATAAATAGAACAGAGAACAGATAGGACGTAATAAAGAATACCCACCTTACACTCGCCAAATCCAATGCCTCTTTCGAGTGTTGTGATGCCTTACATTACACGAACGATCCAACGGCTACCTTATGAATAGGAAATTCTAGGGTAGTTCTGCCTTGCATCGTTACATTAAATAATAATTCTTATATTTATTAATAAAAATATTTATAAACTTATATTGCTTTATATAAATAATTAATAATAAATAGGTGTAATGATTTAAAATAGTAAACAATAGTTAATCCTAAATAGCAGGTCTAGTATTCAAATTCTATAGTTAATAAAAATTTAAAAAATTAACATATATTATAATAATTAGTTCATTTATTAGTAAAATTTATATGTCTATAATCTTAAATATACCAAGTTAAATTCTATATATCAAGACATTTATATAAAATATAATATTATATATATATAAAATATAATATTATATATATAGGAGGGAGTCAATAGAAAAGGGACAAATCATTTTTAGTAAATTTTTTTTAATTTTTAAATTTAAATAACTCAACAACTATTTAATTAAATCTGCTAAAAAAAATTTTATTTTAATCTTGAAATTATATAGAATTAAAATAAGAAAACTTTTACTTAGAAAAATTTTGTTTCTTTTTTATTGACTTCCCTTCATATATATAGGTTAGCATAATTAAAAATTTGATTGCTACTAGTTTATAAAAAATTTCACAGAAAGATGTTTTAGTATTATAGTATATGTATTACTAAACTAGGCTTGACTTTATATTACAAATAATATAAAGATTAGTGAGTATACTTATATATATACTTTTTTTTTTTTTTAATTTAAGCAGTTATACTAGTACTTTATTAAGACTCTTGAAATTACTTATTGCAATTATATAGATTTATCTAACAACTAAGTTTAGCATTACCTGGTCATCTAAGGGTACCTAAGTGCAACCTGTTATACTATTTCAAACAGAAGTAGGCTACTTGTCTAACTACTTAAAGTCCATAATGAAAGGGTCTTTTCTCTTTCATAATAAGCTCCAACATTGTTTTCCTAGTTTTTTTATTAATTTTATTCTTTTTCTCTTTTGCTCATCATCTTTTTTCTTTGATTTTTTGCTAATTTATCTTTTCTTTCTTTTTCAGGTTTTTCTTTTAACTTCTTTCTTTTTTATTTTGATTGTTATGCCTTTTTTCTTCTCCCATTCATTGATCTTTTCACATCATATTCTTTAAACTTGTTTATAAAATGTGTTTCATGCTATCTTTGCTACTGTCTCTATAAAATGCTATCTTGCTTTTGTACTTAGAAGTTGTGTTAGTTTGTCTTGTGTTTTTTTCAGAATTAGGCTTTTGATTAAGCTTTTTTCATTTCTATTTCTTTTGCTTCAACCTTTCTAAAGAGTGTGTATATAATACATATAGAGAGATGCATGTGTTTTCTTCTTTTTTCAACCCTTTCTAGGCCATTGTAATTATCATTTTTTGGATTTGTTTTCAGAGGCTTTGTTGTCCTTTGTATAATGCTAAATGTAATTGCATTTCTTTAATTTTGTCCTGACATACTTGGCACTCTGTTGTTGTATATATGTTTGGTCTTCTTCTATTAAGTTCTTCTAAGGTCGAAAGTTTATCTATTATACACTTTATAAATGCATATCTTCTTGTACTACTTCTTCTTGTTGTGCAATGCACTCCTTTAGTTCTTTTTATCCTTTTTCACAGTTGCATCTAGTCATAAATCATGATTTCTGTTTTTGGCTCTAACTTTCTAATTGTATTTGTTTCTCTCTATTCTGCTTCTAATCTTGTATTTGTTACTAATTTGCATAACAATTTTGTTAATATGTTAGTTTATCTGTTTTTCTACTCTAGGCAGTACTCTATTTCTTTACAACTGACTTTTTCTATTTGTATTACTTTTTCACTTATTGTTCTTTTCTTTGCAAAGCTATCAGCTTTGTCATTTTACTTGTTCTTGCTGTGACTTTTAACTTTTATTAATTCTATTTGTATTCACTTTGTTATAATAAGGTCTATAATCTTTATTATCTATATTGTGTTTTTCATTTTAAGGATTTTCATTCTATCTATTTGTTCTAAACTTCTACTAATATTTCTTATTGCAGCATTACTGTCTGTATATATTTTTACTTGTCTTTTTTTCGATATTCTTAAGATTGCTGCTCAAATTGCTACTAGTTCTGCTATTGTTAATGTCATTTATTCTTCTAGTCCTAATAATGCTTCTTCTTCTGGCCACTCTTGCATTTTATTTGTTTGGATCCATCTTATACCCATGTTTCTGTTTTGTGTTTCTTCTCTAGACTTTAGATTTGCAGCATCATCTGTATATATAGTATATTTGTTTTTGTTTCTCAAAAGGTTTCTTTTTAATATCTTTAAGATTTTTTGATTAACATTCTTCTTTAATTTTTGTCACTTGATTATCTTTATTCCTAACTTTTCTATTATTATTAGTCCTTTAAGTTTTTGCTTAATATCTTTTAGCTTTTTTATTTCTACTTTTCCTATCAACTGATCTATAGCTATCTTAATCTTGTTGTTATTCTTTTCTATCAATGCATCAGAAATTACCCTAATCTTGTTATTTATTCTTATTCATTGCTGGCAACTTCCTTCTTTTTGTTCTTTTTCTTTTATACAACTATCATATTGGCTAATTTCTGTTGCTATTTTACTTTTCTTACTTTGTATTTGCCAATGTTCTAACAAGACCTTTTTCTTTTTCTTCTTTACTATCTTTTCTAGTTGTTTGCTGCCATATGCTTCATATATTATCTATTTTTTTTTCTTTTTATCTTTTGATATAGTCTTCTATTCTACTTTTATTGCCTAGGTATTATATTTGTTTGTCTTAAATTGTCCTTTAACTTCTTTATTTGTTGGCTCTTTGAGTACTTTAAACTTTATTTCTTTGAACCATTCTGCCTTTTTTCCTTTACTTAACTGTTCACAGTAGTTTTTGAATTGTTTTTATATAATTAGCTTTTTGCTTTTTGTGTCAAGTAGCTGATTTAAGTAAATTAGGCCTGTTTTACTTATTTCTGTTTCACTTTTTTTTTACAACTGTGTTTCTAACAGCTCTTGTAACTTGATACCATATCCAAA